AGCACTTTGCAAACAGTTTAACCTGAAAAAAGCAAATAAAGAAATCGTATTTTAAATTTTTTCTTCTTTCATTCCCTTCCTTTCTCTGATAAAATTATAGAAAAGATTGATTTTGGTTACATTTATTTGGCCAAATAGCTCATATGGTGCCTTTGAGCTTCTCAGCAGGGCCCTGTAGAGTAAGTGGGTACACGCGGGAGCATAATCCAGGCAACGCGACAGCTAGAAAGCACACTCGAACCACACGGCACAGGTGAGGGGAGCGGTTGGTGTGGCTTTAGCACGTGCAGCTCGGTGGAGTGAGGGAGATGAGGCTGGAGTGTTAAACTGTGGGGAAGAATGTAGGACTATGCTAAAAAAAAAAAAAACCCTCTGGGCTTCATTATATGGGTAGCAGGGAGCCACTAATGGTGTTTTGGAGTAAAGTGACGTCATGTCATTTGTCTATCAGGAACACAATTGGTGGTAGTAGATGGGATTTGGATTTGAGAAAGGCAGGGAGTAGTGCCCTAGGCGGGACAAGGGATTCGTGCCCTGTACCAAGAACGAGAGGACAGGAGCAAACCAAGTCCCATATCCGGGGCGTCTGTCCCGACCAGGTCAGGGAGGGTGATATTGGAGGCCAACCTGGCATTCAGACAGTGGAGACCCCTGACTTCCTGGAGGACCAGAATGAGACAGTTAATGTCTAGAGAGGCAGCAGCCCAGCACTGCCCAGCAACGGCACTCAGCCTGGTCCCATTTCCCGCCTGACCAGGGCTTTGACAGTTATGCTGCCGGAGCAAGTAAGGGCGGCCAGAAACTCAGAGGCTGACAGCCCCAAGCAAAACACCCACCTCCTTTCAAACACGCTTCTATTCCCAGGGTCCTGGCACCTGAACTTCGAATCTGCTAGGTTATACTCAATTGCTTTAGCCTCTTCACTTCTAACTGTAGTTAGAAGTTAACACAGTTAACCAAAAAAAGTCAGAGTGGGGAATGACACACACACAAAAACTAAAGTTTTTTTTTATCTTAAAACATGTACATTTGTTCATGTTAAAATTTGTTCATTATTTTATTATAGGACTCAGTCTTTTGGGGGTTTTTTTGAGTATTGGTCTGAGGCTGAAGTCCCAGATCACAGAGCTTGTGTAAATAGTGCCGTTTATACTTAAAATTTCCCCTTTCAGTTTCTTTAAAATGAGAGAACACAGAAAGTTTGTAAACAACATGAACGCAGAGTCCTGTCTAGATCTCCAGACTCTGCTCTAATGTCTACGACGGTCCACTGAACCTGATTTGACTGCAGTTTTCTTTCCTGATTCACTCCTTTTCTAATGAAAAACTTATTCAACTTGTGCAATTACTTCAGAACAACTTTTTTTCTTTTCACACTAATGTTCTATTGATTCATGTAAACCTTAATTCAGTTATTAGGCTTCAATAACAAGTACAACTGCCGTAAAGAGGTTTGGATATAAATACCAGTGAGTGAGCATACAGTTCAGCAGACAGCAGCCGAAGTGCTGGGCTCGGTAAGAGAGGGGACAGAGGGTGTGCTCAGCTTTCTTCCCAGAGGGAAGGGAGGGCGTTGGCTACGAGACTGCAGAAATCAAAGACAGAAAGTTTAATTAATAAAGTGCTTTTGCTCAGAGGGTCCTAACCCCCAAGGGAATTTTTGCAGAGACCCCTACCAAAGGCCCTGAGCTTCAGTTTCCTCTGCTGTAAAATAATAGTAATAGTTATTATTATTATTATCAATCATTTTCAATTACCTGCTCTACCTTACTTCAGTGACTGTGGAAGGGATTACTGACATGTCGGGGATTAATGAAGGGATTAATGAAGGTACTTTTAATACTAAATTGCTGCACCTATGTTAGCAATATTTAGCTGGAACACCAGGAATAACAGTAACAGCAATAATAATAACCATGGACAGTCTGCCCCATTCTGTCCTCTCAGATACTAATGGAACCCAGATGAAGCTGACCCTCTTCTCTGTTTATTTAGAGCCACATCCCATGTGATGATACATGTCTTTAGCTTGAAAAGCAAATTCTCTTTGATTTTAAATGTATAGAATTTAAAAAGAAAGTAACTTAAAAATAGATTTTTTGTCAGGCAACTAAGCTATAAACTTCTTTATACACAAGCAGCCCTCACGTGGTGGAGGCGACAGGGAAGGTCAAAGAAAAAAGTATGAGTTTGTGTTGCTTTCGACTGCCTTCCACTCTTGCCGTCACGCACTGATTGTGGAGAAATGGTTGATGTCCAGAATCTTTACCGCCAGGGTTTGCTGATTACTTGCTTGCACAAGAGACACATGACACTCTGAAAAGCTCTTTCTCCTCCAAATTATGAATTCTTGGAATTCATAATTAATAGATAATTTTACTGAAAGGCTAGCAGAAGAAGAGTGATGATTTGGGGTTATATTCTGCTAGATAGCATGCTCTTTTGAATTACCTACAGTTAGTGTGGCTTCACTATATTATCTGTAAGAGAGCATTTTCCTTCCTTGTGGTTTCTGCCTCCTTCATATCATTGTTAGCACCGCAATAAAGAACCTAAAAAGCAGTTCAGGAAAATCATTTGAGCATGAGCTTGTGCTCCTAGAAACAACTCCATTTGCGGCTCTCCCCCACCTGGTATTCAAAAGCACCACAGTTATCTGGTCTCTTTTTCTACACTCTCCTAAAAGGGGGAAAAATGTATTCAGCGTGTAAAAATAAGCCATTGTGTCTCAGAAAGGAGATTCGATGCTAATTAAGGGTTGTTCGAATGAACAAGTCACACTGCATTGTCTACTGAGAGCCGGCTGCCAACTGCATTTTTGGTAAAGAGTCAAGAAAAACATTCAAGAGGTCCCCGGCAAGCTTGGGAGAGAAGCGAGCAACACTTCCCTTTATCAAGAAGGTGCACGAGCCTGTTCAAGCGCTGTCGACAGGCAGGGTGCAGGCTGCGAGCTCCTGCCTCCTAGCTTTTCCTACGGGTTTTGAGAGCCACCTTCCCACAGAGGGGCCTGCTGCGCAGGTCTGATCCTGAGCAATCGGGGCATGTGTGCTGGACTGCTGGACCGCTGCATGCCTCTTTCTTTGTGCAATAACCTTTCTCAAGAGTCTTCGTCACTCTTCTTGGATTCATCTGGGAGGCCTGAGTCTTAAGATACACAATGGCTCTGGTCTTGCAGCGAAATAATTGATGCTCCATTGAAAGAAACCAGGCAAATTGGTTAGTATGATTATCTTTAACAAACTGGGGAAATTTTAGACATTTGACAGCTCGTAAATGAGGAGGGAAATAAATTGCTCTATTTTTAAAGGGTTTCTTTTCTTAATGTTAGCGTTATGTCAGCTAGAGTAAGCCTTTAGCCTGATTGCCTGACAGTCTTGGGGGTAGGGGTGGTGTGTAAATAGAGGTGAATGATTTACTTTGTTTGGAAAAGGACCAGAACTAGAGGATGCAAACGTGTTTTTATTGTAACGGATGGAAGAAACAGTGATTCCACCGGGCGGAGTGATGTCCTTGGGGCTCCTGTGTGTGGGTGGCTGTTACTTGGTGTGATGAGCCCTGAGGTGCATGTCTGATCCTCTGCGTGTCTCTTCCTTCAGTGCTGTGGTTCCGTGGGTCTTTTGCTGCTCTCTTGAATCTATAAGTACTTATATTTTAAGAGTGGTTGTATGCCTTTGACATAGATGTGAAGAAACAAGTGTCCTGAGTCCTAAAATGTCCCAAGTGAAGGCAACAAGTGAAAGAATTTCTCTATAAATGTATGTGTGTGTTTGGAAGAAAATAACAAGTTCTATTTAAACAATGTTTCTAAAATTACATGCTTCCCTGGGCATCAAAATAAAGCAATACCTTTCACACTTTACATTCTTAATCATTAAAGTATGTGGTAGAAATTAATAGTTCTTTTGCAATTGTTTAAAAGACAAAATAGTAAATAACATAGGCTTATGTATATGCTTGAATCTCATTTTGTGGTTTTCTTTTAATAATGTAGCTAGGATATAATAATAATAATGTTTAATGCATGATCTAATGCATAATTAAGCAATGATCTAATGACTTTAGATCAAAAATCTATTCCATCACTCAGTAGATGTAAAATATAACAACAACAATGATAATAACAACATATTTGAGTGCTGACTTTCTCTTAAGTGCTTTCCATGTATTAAATCTTGAGGAAACTGAGACCAGAGAGATAAAGTATCTTGCTTATGGATTCACAGCTAATAAGTAGTGGAACCAAAATTTGGACCCAGGCTCTCTGAACCCAAAGCCTGCACCTTAACTATCATATTAAATTGCCTTATTTGCAATATAGTTAGCATTACTCTTATTAAACCCTTCAAAGAGGATCCAGTATAAAAATATTTTTAAATAATTTTGTTGTACATTGATTTCAATGGACCCCGTGGGTGAAAAGGCCATTGGTTCTGGAAAGTATAACACCACAGGTGTATTAACGGTCAGTACATCTGCCTCACATACAAGGGAAACTTCCTGCAGTGGCATCTGGCGCATCGCAGATGCTCTTGTTAGACGCTTTCATCTGAAGGAGCAGGACAAAGTGGCTTGCCTCAATCATCATGAGAGAACGTTCCTCTATTTCTAGTCATCACAGGGTAAATTCTACTATTTGGATCTTAATTCTTTAATTAAGTTTTTAAATAGCTCTTTCTATTTAATTTCTCTGTGGGGTTTTGGGAAATTTTGCCTTAATTTTTTTTTTTATGGGATTAGTAGCGAGTGTTTGACATGCGTAGGTAACAATTGATACCTTGTTAAAAAACCAAGTGATTGAGATATAATTTACATAGCATAAAAGCCACCTGTTTAAAATGGACAGTGTTTCAGTGGTTTAAGTACATTTACAGTATTATAAAATTGACATGTAATTTTTAAAAATTAATTAAATAAAAACTCTTGAGATGCTTGAATGAAAAGCACTCCAAGGCCAGCGAGAACCATCACTATGTGCCTTGTTCCTCTTTCCCCTTCCCCAGAAATGCGTGCTCTACTGGCCAGAAAAGAGGGGCATATACGGGAAAGTCGAGGTTCTGGTCGCCAGCGTAAATGAATGTGACAGCTACACCGTTCGAAACCTTGTCTTAAAGGTAAGACCACGTGGCTACAGCTGGCTACAAAGTAGATGACATTGAGGAGTCCATTTCCACTTGGAAATTTTTATCCTAGTAAGTGCTGCAGAGTGAATGTAAATAAGTTAAAGAATGTCAAGATCAAAGAGAAACTGTAACCATTCCTTCCTGCATTTCTTTGTTGTCAGCTCCGGTCAGTGTGTGGAATAATCAAATTAGTGTAAGTAGACATTAGGGAAATTCACTAAGTAGGATTTTATGACCTAATTTACATTTTAAAAAATCTCTGATTTAACCTTCTGAACACCTTTAACTAAAGGCTTGCGCTGGAGATTTTACCATGATTTTTTTTTTCTTTTTAATGTCACTTTGGTCTCAGCAGCTTTAAGTGAGGCCTGGAAACTGAAGGAGAAATCTGCCCTGTGGGTGGCCGTGGGAGGCAAGCCCAAGGCGTTGATGAGATCTTCCCAAACTCGGAGTTACAGTAATTTATAGGGACTTTCCCCAAACAAGTTTACATCATAGAAACCTTATCTTATTTTGATCATGGGCAGCAGATGCCAAGGAACGTTGCCATGGTATTGTTTTTGCTTCTGGAGAACAGTCGTCCCATAGACTCCCATCCCGTCTCGAGCTCACTGCTGGGGCGGAATCACCACAGAGAAGGAGCAGAGCAGAGTAGCACTGGCGGTTTTAGTGGGAAGTTCAGGGAAGGACGCACTGACCCACACCTGTTTGTCAACTCCTGTCCTCCGGGGCCTGGTCCACGCCAGGCCCCAAGCCGCGCGCAGGGTTGAGACGATGCTCCTCGCCCAAAGCAGTTCCAATCAGGGACCACTTGTAGCTCCTTTACTCCTGGGGGACTGCTCACTGCTGTTAAAAACTGGAATTGGGGATGAGTGTAGAATACTGGAATGATGGAATAACTCATAGAATTGAGTGTTCTTATATCAGTTAATATGTTTATAAAGAGTAGGAAACACACTATATCCCAAGTCTTTCTTGACTACATTTTCGTCTACAATTTTCTTTAGCAAATTACAAACATTATTTAGCATATGTTACCTATACATTTTCTGTGTTAAATATATATTCTCATTTAACAGAGGCAAGACTCAAACTTTGACATCAGGATATTTACAGTCAAGTTTTCTCGAGGTGAAAACTTTACTAGATTTTTTTCCACCTAGAAATAAGTTGCCAGCAAGATGGGAGTGATAGAGGCATTGAGTACCGTGGTTTGGATGACTTTTAGTTCCATAAGTAAATGAGGCATTTGGTGGCTGTTGCTATTTTCAGCAAGGAAGTCACACCCAACATGTGAAGCATTACTGGTACACCTCGTGGCCCGACCACAAGACTCCAGACAGTGCCCAGCCCCTTCTTCAGCTCATGCTGGATGTAGAAGAAGACAGACTTGCTTCCTCGGGCCGAGGGCCTGTGGTTGTCCACTGCAGGTAAGGCATGCGCTTCCTTTCTGCCTGAGCAACTGTCCGTCCTTCGAAAATCATAGAGCAGGTGGAAGTTGGGTTTTGCTTCCTGGTTGTGACTTGGTTGGTAAATTAAATATCTATGGAAATTGGTTAACTTCCTAATATTTGAGTCTTTATCAAGATGATGTTTACAGAAATAAAGTGACATTATTAGGGCCTTTTCAGCTAACGATTACCTTGAGAACAGGAGACTTTCTTCAGTCCTATACCTTGAAACTTATATTGATTCATTTATTCTCATCAGTCTCGTATGCAGCAGGAATGACAGGTTTTTTAAATCATCCATGGCTTTTTTGTCGTTTGAAGGTGGCACCAGAACTATACTTGAACTGTGTCTTGATAACATTTATTATGTCAAATTTAGTGAAAACCAGTCAACTATTTTAAAAGTTATTTCATGAAAAATGGATGGAAGTAAATTTATGAAATGGGAAATGGGCAAGTGGCAGTTCGCCAAAGGAAAACCAAGTGCTGTTACCAGAACATGGGGTACTGGAGGCCAGGCTGACAAAGAGACAGATGCCCAAGGTGATTCCCTTGGCAAGGAGAGCTTGAAGCTCTCCTCTCGTAACTGATACCTGACCCGCCTTGTTTTCCTTGTAGTGGGCCCAAACTAAAGCAAATGTTTTTAAAGTTATTTACATACCCAGTCATTTATTCTCCATACTATCTCAAAATAATTTGTCTTGCTTTGTTTAACCTCATAAGTCTTATAAGATGGCTTTTGCAAAAACCTTTAATAAGTAAAATACATTATTTTAGATTATAATTTTGGCCTCCTTCATTTTGAACCTTTGTGGTTTAATTAAGAATAAAGTTTACTGATTTATTCAAAGGCATCATTATCCAGTTTCTAGCTCTAGGCCTGATCCTAAACTTAGCATGGGGGCAAAGAAAAGCAGCCTAATTGGCCGTGCTTTAGGGCTGGACCTGTCCTCCACCCAAAACCATAAAACACTCAGGATGTCTAAAACGAACTGGCCACTTCCCCTATAAAATCAGCTCCCCTTCTGATTGCTATTTCTAAGAATGAGACCATCTTTTTTCCAGGCACTCGACCCCAAATGTTGACAGTTATCTTTGGCCCTCCTCTCAGCTCCAGCTGCAGTATCTAATCAGTCACCAGATTGGCTTTCCCTTCAAAGCGTCTCCCGTAATCATCCCTTCCTGCCCAACCACCAAGTTCAGGCCCTTATGACCTCATCGTGTGTTTTAGAAGTAGTCGGCTAATTGCACAAACACACCCCACTTCCCGATGCCCCACCCCCAGTATGGCCTACTGCGTGCATGTTCCTAAAACCCTCTTTTGTCACATGAGTTCCTGCTCAGAACTTCTCAATGGCTTCCCATTGCCTGGACCATAAGTTCTTGACCTGGGGTCTATGGATGAACTCAGGGGTGAGTGAATGCCTTCAAATTACCTGAACAAATTTGGGTACGTAAAGTCACATGAATTTTTCTGGAAGTGAAAGTTCATAGTTTTCACAAAATTCTCAAAAAAAAAAAAAGAGTATCACTGTTGAAGACAATGAAGACCAGACCTCTCAGCTTTCCATATAAGATCGTTTATAGAGTGCAGTGTATCTTCCCAGTCTTATTTCCCACTATTTCTCTAAAAGAACTTTCTTTTCAAGACAAGCTAGTCTACCCACTGTTGCACATCATGTATCCTGTTCTGCAGCAATTCTTTATATCCTTCTCATCCATGGAATATTCTCAGTCGTGAGAGCCAAAATGCCTGCCATTCGCAGTGTGCAGTTCAAACCCTCTCTCTTCAGTGAAACAAACTACAGGCACTTCAACCAAAAAGGACCCATTCCACCTCTGAATTCCTCTGCACTCACATTCAGGAGGACACAAGTGCCAAATATGAGAAGTAAATGCTATTTGAGTGCCAAGAGGGGAACTATTAATTCAAACCATGGTGACTGAAGAAAGCCTCTAAAAGTTGGAATGATGTTGAACAGGATCTTAAAAAATGACCAGTGTTTGTGGTTTTAAAAGGTGGTAGGGAGGGCATTTCTGACTGAAGAAAATCTTTAACACACAAAGGAAAATTGGAAAATAAAAGGCATTTTTGGCAATAATTCCTGTAAATTTAAAAAGTGGCTGGGCCGGCCCAGTGGTGCAGCAGTTAAGTGCGAGTGCTCCGCTTTGGCGGCCTGGGATTTGCAGGTTCAGATCCTAGGCGCGCACCGACACACCACTTGTCAAGCCATGCTGTGGCGGCGTCCCATATAAAGTAGAGGAAGATGGGCACGGATGTTAGCCCAGGGCCAATCTTCCTCAGCAACAAAGAGGAGGATTGGCATCGGATGTTAGCTCAGAGCTAGTCTTCCTCACAAAAAAAAAAGTGGCACAAAGGTACAGGGAGCACAGTAAGAAGTTGGTCACAGTCACAGGCTGCCAGGTCATGACCAATGAGGCTCTGACATGGTGCTGTCACTATGGGAGCATCTACAGTCTTTGAGTAGAGAGTAATACGATCAAGTCCCTGTTTTAGAAAGACGAACCTGGCAGCTGTGTGTATCATGAGGCTTGGAAAAGACTTGAGGCTTGGAAACCATCGTGAGATCATTGCTAATCATGAAGTAAGGAGAGGTCGAAAACTTGAGCACAGGCTATAGGAAGGAAAGCCTGGATCCCAAAAGCTCAGTAGAGGTGGAAATGTAAGAGCTGGTGACAGATTGGACGTGGGAGTTGAGAGAGGGGGAGGTGTTGAAGATGGCGCCAAGATTTCTAGGCTGGAAAACTTGTGGCTGACTGGTAATACCATTGAGGGAAAGGATAATTAATCCTGTTTTAGATGCATTGAATTTAGACACATTGAAGTGAAGCAGGTGCGAAACAGTTACATCCGGATTTCCAGCTAGGAGATGGGATGCCAATCCAGAGTTGAGAAATTTAGGGAATTTGGATGTAGATTTGAGAGAAATTTACATGATGACTATTAGTGGTTGAAATTGCTAAGAAAGACAACAAGAGAGAGACAGGCTTGTTAGGCCGGTGACGTACGTCTAAAGCAGACGAGTGTGCAAACCCTCCTGGATGGACAGAGTTTCCGTTCGCTGCCACCTGCACATCAGTGACTTGGAAATACGTGCCCCCAGACACATCGCTCTCCCAAACAGAACTGAATCTTCAGTTATTCCTGGGGGTTCAGCGTCAGTGTATCTGAGACCAAGCTCCCCTCTCCCTCCCTCAAATCAGACTTGTTCCAGAACTCTCCGCGGAGTCACTGGCACCACCAGTCTCCTGTCCTCTGGGAGAGGCCGTCTTTGACTTTTTGCTTTTCTCCCTGTTCAACAACTGCATCCTCCAGATTCACACGTGTGACATGTGTAAGTCTTTCCCTCCTTTCTAGAGCCCACGCCTCACCTGAATTCAGGCCCCAAGTCTTCTCCGTGGACTATTTACAGTGCCTTCTTCACGGTCCTCCCACCCGTGGCCCTTCACCCCGCTCATCCCACTGTAACCACAGACGGAGTGCCGTGTGCACGCAGCACACGGCCGGGACTGTGATCCTCAGCTCCTGACGACTCTTGTTGATGCAGCTGCTGTTTCAGATCGTAAAGCGCCCTTTAAAAGAGTGTGTTTTATCTTTGCTGTTTTTCCTCCACCTGATATTCCTCGTCTTTTCTTTTCAGTGCGGGGATAGGTAGGACGGGGTGTTTCATCGCCACGTCCATTGGCTGTCAACAGCTAAAAGAAGAAGGAACTGTCGACGCGCTCAGCATTGTCTGCCAGCTTCGAGTAGACAGGTGAGTGTCCTTGGGACTTCGTGATAGGGACCTCCCTCAGGGCAGCCTTGTCCGTCACAGCCTGATCTGGTCAGCCTACTGTTCTAAACATCGCAGGCTCCGAAGTCCTGAGTCTCTATAGAGATGTGTGTAAATGCTCAAGAATAGACATTACATTAAAAAGCCATCCAAGGAAGTGTTATCTGCAACACTGACCATCAGGAGTCCAAAGCCAAAAGCTCCTGCTCACCCCGTCCTCATCTCCAGCACAGGGTGTGCGTGGCAGAAGCTGTTCCTTCGTGGTCTTCACCTCTGCTCCTTCCTGTGTGGTCCTTTGGGTGCACTCCTTTGTATGTGCTCTGCATCTTCAATGGACTTGACGGAACCATCCACTTTAGGATCTTGATCCTTTAAAATGAAGCATATATCGTGCTATCAAGCGTCATCTTTTTTTCAGTCTACTTTTTTTTAATTATGAAAAAATGCACATAAAATTTACCATCTTAACCATTTTAAGAGTACAGTTCAGTAGTGTTAAGTACATTCTCACTGTTATGCAACCATCTGCAGAACTCTTTTCATCTTGAAAAACTCTGTCCTCATTAAACAACAACTCCCCACCCCTCCCTCCTCTCAGGCCCTGGCACCTGCGGTTCACCTTCTGTCTCTATGAGTTTGACGACTCTAGGTACCTCATATGAGTGGAATGATTAAGTATTTGTCCTTTTGTGATTGGTTTATTTCACTCAACATAATATCCTCAAGATTTATCCATGTTGTGGCATGTGTCAGAATTTCCTTCCTTTTTAAGGCTGAATAATATTCCCTTGTATATACATACATATTTTGTTTCTCCATTCCTCCATTGATGAACACTTGGGTTGCTCCCACCTTTTGGCTATTGTGAATAACGCTGCTATGAACATGGATGTACAAAGACTTGTTTGAGATTCTTTGGGTATGTACCCAGAAATGAGATTGTTGTATCATGTAGTAATTCCATTTTTAATTTTTTGAGGAACTGCCATCCTGTTTTCTACAGTGGCTGCACCGTTTACATTCCCACCAACAGCGCACAAGCTTTCCAACTTCTACACATCCTTGCCAACACTTGTTAGATTCTATTTGTTGGGGTTTTTTTTTTTGAGGAAGATTGGCCCTAAGCTAACATCTGTTGCCAATCCTCCTCTTTTTTTTCCTTTTTTCTCCCCAAAGCCCCAGTAGATAGTTGTATGTCATAGTTGTACATCCTTCTAGTTGCTGTATGTGGGACACCGCCTCAGCACGGCTTGATGAGCAGTGGACAGGTCCAAGCCCAGGATCCAAACCAGTGAACCCCGGGCCGCCAAAGCGGAACCCGCGAACTTAACCGCTACACCACCGGGCTGGCCCTTTGGGTTATTTTACTAGTCACCATCCTAACGAGTGTGAGGTGGAACAGCCATTTTTATATAGAGATGGTTGGGCACCTTTGTGATGATCTCTGTTTATTTGTTGAAAACAGAACAAACAAGAAACCTCTCTTCTTCTTTGCTCCACAACTGAGCCTAGCTGGGTAAATGAACAGTTGAGTCAGTGATGGAGAAAGTGAGCAGATGCTCCTTGAGAACAGGCACAGAGAGAAAGATGCCAAACTGGCACGTGAGCAGCCGGCCCCTCTGCTCTGCAGTTCAGTGTGCTGCACTGGAAGAAGAGGTGTCCTGAAAGGTTCTCTTCTGTTATTCATGCAGCGAATACTTATCAGTTACCTCCTGTGCCCAAGGCATTGTTCTAGATGCTTTGAGTACAGCATTAACAAGATGAGTGAGGCTCTGCTCTCCCAGGGTTTACAAGCTGACACAGAGAGAGAGACAGACAGACAGTAAAAGAGCCAAGAAATAAACAGGATGATTTCAGACAGGTCAATGCTGTGACGTAATAAAACAAGAGGCCACGGGAGCTGAGCCGCTCGGACTTCAGTCCTGTGACCTGGAGATTCCTGACAGTGGAGAGCTACCTTTTAAGATTCATTGGACAAGTGTTTATTGAGCACCTACCATGCGCTGGATTCTGGGATTTCAATAAAAGAGACAAGAGAATTATTCCGAAAGTTCAGTGAGATAAGAACCTCAGCAAAGGTTCTCTGTGTTGTCGTCCTCTTCATTATTACTAAAATTCTTGGTACAATTTCTCCTAGCTCTAAAGATTAAACATCTGAACCCCCTTTGCGGTGAGGTGTTCCCTCCCCGTCCCAGCTGCTCCCTGTCTCCTTTTAATGACAGCCCCTGAGTCTCTGCGAGTGCATCTTCCCTCTCTTTCCTCTCGACTCTGACTGGCTTCTTAGAGCCTGTTCACCGTGGTGGTGGAGACTCTGGAAGCACATTGCGTGGTTTGCATCCTGGCTGCACCGTTTCCTGCCTGTGTGGCCTCAGGCGAGTCACTGGATTGCGTCTTGGTTTTCTCATCTGGAAAATGGACGTAATGACAGCGTCTACTTCCTGTAGTTGTTGTAAGGGTTCAGAGAGAACCGTAAAGCCCCCGGCACGTGATAAGCGTGCCGTCAGATTCGCACAGTCATTGTCCATGCACATAGCATCTGTAAACTGCAGCTAGTAATACCCAGCCCCCGGGCTTCAGCAACGTGGAGACAAGGTTACACCCATGCAGAACTTAGCCATGTTCCTTACCCTCTCTCTACCCTCCTTGCTCCCCCCTTTGCATACCCCACATGTAACTGCTTCCAGAACCATTTTCTTGTTGTGCATAGGATCAGCTCCATAGATCTCTGCCCCTCCTCCTACGATTGCTCCCTTAGTCTCCTGAAGCCCCCTGCCTCCCCTCCAGACCATCCACCCAGCTGGAATAGGATCCCATGGCTTCACTTCACACTCTGTCCTTCTGCCTCAGGGGAGGGACACACAGTCAGCCAGAGCTGCTCCCCCAGTGACTTCTCTCTCCCGCCTTGTGCTTCTGTAAACAAGGCTCCTGCACGGATCCCAAGTCCCCCAGAACGCCAGTTCACACCCCTGCACCCTGCTTTCCTGCTGGCCCGTGCTGAACTCCGTGAACCCGGATACCTGCATGGCTCTAAACTGACCCCAAGCCGACTGCCTCCAGCACCTGCTCTGGCCCTACTTAGAACAACACCCTGCAAGAACAAGCTGGGTTTGCTGCTTGTTTTGGCTCTCAGTCTTAAATCCGGGCTCTTCTCCCCCCCTCCTCCCACCGCCCCACTGCTCCTGTAGCCTGACCTCCACCTGGGTTTCCACTTCCGGGTCACAGTCCCTGTCAAATCCACCAAATTGTCCTCCAGCTTTGAATGGAATCACAAATGCATTTTTTAAACCGTATCACAATGCCTCCCCTATCGGCTCCTTCCTTCCTAAAGCAAAAGGTCAGAGATTTTAGCCTTGGCCTTCTCTCGTCACCAAGGTCTTCTCACAAGGCTTGTCTTTTACTGCTGATAGGATCCTCAAAACATCCCACTTCTCTGTTGATCTGAAGCCTATGGCTCCCCACCCCCTGGATTTGAATTGCTGCCAGTATGTGTCTCGAAATCATTCTCACTGATTTATTAATCAGGATCTCTTCTACGTAAACTCTTTCCGAGCAGCTGCTTCTGTTTGTGAAACGGATCCTCTCCTTAGAGCTTTCCTTGAAAGGTCTTTCCTTTGCCTTCCTTCCTTCATAGGATCAACATAGATTTTCCTTTTCTTGTTGAGTATTCCCCTAGGTATTATGAAAAGCAAAACAGAAACCTTCCTCCTTTCCTTCACCACATTCAGCTTCTTTCCCCATCATTCTTGCCTCTTGCGTCAGTTCCTCAGCTCTTTCCTGTCAGACTTCGCTTTTTAAATTCCAATGTAGATGACTGCCACCATTGACCACGTCCTCAGCTCCAGCTGGTGAAGGGAAAGCTGGTCTCAGAGAATCCAAACGTCCGCCTTGCGGCTCTGGCAGCTTTATCGTTCCTCATCAGTTCTTCAGACCTTGTCCCTCCCTGGTCTCCGTGACCGTCCTTTCTCCGTGGCCGTTCTTGCCTTCAGTTCTGGATCTGTCTCCAGACATTCCAGAAAGCACTCTCAACACCCGGAAGTGTGTCTGATTACGGTCTCTCCACCATGGTCTTCAAAGCATAGGTCTCTTGTAACTCCCAAAGTGAACCCAAGAGTAGGAAAAGAGGTATTCCTTGGTCCCGTTTTTTAAAACAAGGAAACAACGAATTCGAGATATCAAGTAACTTGCCCAAGGTCATCCTCTTTGGAATCCAGGATTTCTGATTTCTAACTCAAAACATGTGACTGTTATAGATAAAGGTAAACAGGCTTTGGGAATATATTGGTTGTAAAACTGCCTGACAAAAACACGTCTCCTCAATAATGCATTACCAATTAAAAGAAAATGCAATGACACCATGATTTTTAAAACAATGTTTCGCGTGAATGAGAACTGCTTCACGAGTAGATAGAGGGGTACCGTCAGCAGTTGCCTTGTTAGTAGAATCTGAGGGACGTAGGACAGTTGTCTCATCCCAAACCGTCTGTCTGTGGAGGAAACCTAAACATCCGTGCTGACTATCTGAAATGCTGCTCTGAGAGAGCAGTCTTTGAAGTTCATTCAACCTAGAGATAGGAAGTGAGATGACTCTCCACGTCTTCTCAGCCGTTAACACTTTGATAAACAGGGTGATCCACCGTTTCCAGTGTGGCAGCTGGAGGGAGGGTGACCCCCACGTCATCAACATATTCAGAACATGGGTTTCGATGAAGCGGATTGAAGAGAGGGCTCCAGAGCTGGGCACCCCTGAGACCCCACAGTCGAGGAGACTGTAGACAACTCTGGGCACTGGGAAGGTGAGGGGCCAGGAGAGGAAGCAGAAGAGCATTAGCAAGGGACGCCTCCATCAAGGTCGGCTACCTAACTTGAGGGCCCAGTGCAACATGAAAATGTGGGGCCCCTTTTTCAAAAACTATTAAATATTTCCAGACAGTGACAGCAGAGCATTACCCCAAGCGCTCAGAGTGGTGCTCCTGGATCACATG